TAAAGTAAAATAAGAGAACAAAAGAACCGTCCCTCCTTCCCATCACAGCCTTGTTTTGTTGTGGCTTTGTTTTAATTTAATAAAAGCACGCATCTCTCCTTTCTTTGTCTTTTATTAATTAAAAACAAAGGACACAACACTCTTTCCCTTCTAGTTTCGTTCTTTGTTGTTCCTCTTTTGTCTTTTGTTTCTTCACTTATAATGAAATAAAATGGAAGCATGAAGTGAAGAAAACAAAAGAAGAAAAGAAGGAACACAACAAACGAACCACCAACCTTGGACTCGTTCACTTGTGCTGGTTTTGTTTAATTAAAATGAAAGCGAAAGAAGCTTGCTTCTCATGGACGACTTCATTTCTTGAGAGAGATCAGTACTTTTCGGAGTTCTGCCTGTTGCAGGAATCCCTGGGTTCTGGGCTTCTGGTAGGGGCCGTCGGATGTCGGTGCGACAAAACCTGGCCTTCACAGTGAGAACTTCGATGGAAGATTTCCGGCATTTGGGGGGGGGATATGAGTCGTAACTCCTGGACAAATCCAAGCAGCGAGCCCTGATGCCCTGCATTCTACATGCTTCGGATCACGCGCACAACGTATTTAGGGCGTCCAAGGTGTGCATTCGACGAAATACGCTTCAAGTGGAAAGCAGCAGAAGAGTCCGCCACCCAGTATTCGGCTCTCAACCTCCCAGAATAGCATGGGAGTCTTGCGGTGTCGGCGGGTGACCTGCTGGCCAGTGCTGGCCCATCATGGCCGGTCAGCATGCATCTGTAGCATGATGCTGCATGTCGCCTTCTCTCAGGAAGGAGAAGCTCAAAATTGAGCATCACCAGAGGATGCGCAAGGTGCCTCCCAAGATGGGTGCATGGGAATTGTTGTTGCTGAATGATCTGTGGAGCTTGCATGAGCTTGCTTCTGGCAGATATTGTGAGGCCAATGTGATGCCACAGTACGCCGCACCCCAGTCTTTTGCTGCCCTGCACAGGCGCGAGCCCAGGCGCGGCTGGACGTCATCGCGCGAGAGAGCAAGAAGCGGCTTATCCAGGCGGGGTCCGGCTCCTGCGAGATGGTTCGGGGCGAAATAGCAAGATGTGTGACTGAGGAGCATGTTTTGACTCCGCAGACTCCGACATGCACGCTTTTCCAACTTCCCAAACCGCCAGGGTTGATGCAGACTTCTGAGCAGCCCTGTTGGAAATTGCAGGCATGCATGGTAGCGCTGCAGGAGGAGTCCATAGAGGGCCCACGGCCCAGTCGTGCAACGAGAGCACCGGAGATCATCCCATGTGCTCTGCTCTGCAGCCTAGGCCGGCACGAGAAGCATCTTGAAGAGCGCCTGCGCTCAGACCACTTGGGGGACGAATTCTGCATTGACTGTCACTACAGTAGCTGTCACTGGCTGCGCCATGCTGCGCACATTGCGGTAGTTCGCAGCCAGATGATTCGCAACGCTTTGCACCGACCCAAGGCTTCGGCGAAGACACGATGACGAGATCTTGGTGATGAATGCACAGCTGGCGCAGGTCCATGCCAACGGACAGCTGAGACCTTTCATCTCCATGCTTCTGGCCGGACGTGCTCATTTGGGACTCAGTTGCAGCTTGTGCCATGGGGCCGTAATAGCGCGAATTGCAAGAGATGCCGGTCATTGCCAGTCGCAGCAGCTTTGGTAGGCTTTGGGCGACGAGGAAAAGGCCAAAGAGCTCGTCCAAGAGCAAGTGCGCCGTGCCGCTGGCTTGCTTGTCTTGCATGCAAGCGAAGGTACGGGAACTGCATGCGTAGAAGGGTGGCTATTGTGGTTATTGTCCTGGGAGGGGCTTGACAGCGCCACTGCACGCAGCTCTCCCAGTCAAATCGAGCTTTCGACGCAAGTAGCAGCAATGGACCATTGCTTCGTACGTGAGCAAGGTGGACCTCCAGCACATGGAAGCCCGAAGCCAGGTTGATTTCACAAGTTTTCACAAGCAAGACCTATCGTACTTGTAGTGAGTTGTGTACTACAAGTACTCTCTGACATCCAATTCGGCTTCTCAAAGCGTAGCAAGACCTATGGGTGCGCGCAAAGGCTGCGGCCGCCCATAAGCCATGGGTCCGATACAACACGGGTTTGTTGTGACCTATGCCGCCGTAGAACATTCGCTCCGCCATGCGCCCGGGGCGTCTCCTGGTCATCTTGGCTGTGCTGGTGGCCACCTCAGCTGCATGTCATGTCATGTAGAGTCATGTCACGATGCTGACGAAGCGACAGGAACCCAACACGGCCAAGCCTGCAAGGATCTACAGCAAGCCGATCGAAGCAGAGTTTCGGGCATTTGAGGTGCATTGGCCGACACCGTGGGTACCGTGGAGACGCTCCGGCCGGCGTGATGCCAGCCTGCCACAGGGCACTAGGCAAGACTTGGCAGGGTCACAGGGTTTGTAACACATGCAAGCGTCTGCAGGCCTTACGGCAGCAGCTTCTGTGGATGCAACCTTGCCGCATGTGGAGGGGCTTCTTGGCAAACGTAGCAAACGGGAAGTGCGACAGGCCGCAGCCCTGAAAAGCGCACCTGCAAGCTGAAAGCATGTAGCTTGCAAGGGACCGGCATAGTTGTGGCAAGCATGGCGTGGCGTCTTGTGCGGCAATCTTGCGTATTCATGTGTTCAGAATGGTGTCACACCAGGCGAGGGCAGCAGACATAGTTGCGATGCATGATGCCACAGTAGAATGGTTTGGTCGGTCAGGCACGCTCTTGGGCAAGCGAAAGATTCGCGAGCCTTTCGTTATGAGACCAGTGGCTCCATCTGCCATTGACACCTACTTGGATTCTGCGGCCGTGCTGCAAGTTTGACAAAATATTTCGTGAGGGGGCCCGGCAAGGAGCTCTGGCTTGTCCACAGTGTTGCCGCCTCTTTACTCTACACGTGTCCATCGCGATGAGTCTTCGGAGCTTTGGATTGAAGCTGGCTTTAGACCAGGCTTTTTACCCAAGGCTTGAATGTGTTCCATCGATTTCCCGGCTGCCTGGACAGAGTGATGCTACCGTCATCTACCGTCATTGTTGGCGAAGCCCAACTTTAACCCACTTAACCCACGAGAAGTCCTCGCAATACATTTCCTCGTGGTCGTTGCTCCCCTAGCTATTGTATTTCGCGGGGGCTGGGGCCTCCTCAGAAGCACAGAAGTAGCTATTCCTAGCTTGCCCAAATCATGCTGCTTGCACATCAGCAGATCCTGCTTCTCCTTCCGACGAGAGTGTAAGAGTAGCAAGAGGCATCTTATGACGGAGCGGAGTTCCATGATAATTCGACCCGCGTTTGAGTGACCTTTCAAGTTCTCAAAAAGGTGGGTGTGGACAGCTTTGGCCTTGGCATCCTCGTCGGTGTCTTCGGCACTCTTTCCACAATCACAGCAGTCCTGCTGCCCGGGCTGCAAGATAGTAGCAGTAGAAAATTGGGGAAAGACAGGACTGTTCAATGGTTGTTGTAAGGGCCATATCAAGCATGGTTGATCAGCGTCAGTAGCTGGCTCGAGTAGCAACAGAAGCCGCAAGAACCATAGACCAAGAGCAAATTGGCTATCTACCAATTGCCCCTCGCCGTCACTCGCTCCCGCTCCCGACACAACAAACCGAACCCTGACAACCCGAGGGAAATTGTTTTTTTGTGATGTTCGCCCTGGCCTGGGGAAACTTCGAGCTTCTGATACGCCCTTTTGGAATTGGGACCCTCGGTCTTCGACTTTAGGGACACGGCAGGCTTCAGCGAGGTCTCACTCAGACGTCAGGTGCCAACGCCGGCTTACCCCTCCAATATGGAAGCCTTTCTTATCTTGCACTATATTTTCTAACCCAGACCTGCTCACCAAGTGTGCCATGTGCCATGTCTGCCATGTAAGCAGAACAGGAGCAAAGCTCCGTTCCAGTTGCTCACAACCAGGTTCATTTTCGTGAAGAACTTGCGTGGCAACGACTTTGACGGCAACACTCTGGCTTCCTCGGGCGGATTCGTCATGCCCAACTTTTTCTTTCAGGTTGGACATGCCCCAGATGCTGCATTTGGAGTTCGATTCCGTCTTTAGATGTATGCCACACCCTTGATAGCTTGAACTTGTCTGTTTCGTGAGACACAAACACGGACTGTGAAGGGTTCTGGTGCACCCAATGCAAGGAAACCAGACTGGTCATGGCGGTTCGAGCTAGCAAGCGCTGCACAGAAACCGTTCCAGTGGTGCTTCACACTTGCAGTTCTGTGGTCTGCTGGTGGGCAGGGTGCGCGTGACATCTTCAGCAATGTGCGGGATGATGCCGCCGTTCACCTGAATCAGCTTCGTGTTTTGCAGGATTTGCAGGTCTGTCAACCACTACCTGTCTAGCGCCCGCCGACCCAAGAATTCGACATTAGAGACTTCGAGCTGAAGAATGCAATCTAGGTACATAGTGCTGGAAGAGCAGGAAAGCAGCCAGGGGAACACATTGACATGCACACGAGTGCAAATACAGAAGTATATATAATGTATATACATATATACATATATACATATATACATATATACATATACACACACACATATATATATATATATTACTACATACACATACATGAGAACATATATGTACGTATATATATATATATGTATGTATGCACATTGCTCATTTCCAAGCATTCAGAAGAGTTCGCGGCCTATTTAAATTGCAAACGAAACCTCTGACTGTTAGCATGCACTAGCCGATGTTAGACACAAGCTGA